CCCCTCCCCTTCTTCTTTCTCATTTATTGAACAATAACTGCAAAGTTTTCTTGCTGTTACTTTCTCCTCTTCCCCTGTCTCACTGGGGAGAAGGGGAAGAAGGAAAGCAGATGAGAAGCTGTGTGATACTTGACTGCCCACTGGGGTTAACCCACAGCAGGAATTCACTCTGGAAAAAAGGGATGCATTTGCCTGTTTTTAGCAGAGATGGGCTACACTGAGRGAGAGAGGTTTTTATACCATGTCTGATTTTGGCAATGACAAGTGAGAGACATCACAGCGTTCTTCTGAGGTTTTATTCAGTTGACTTAATGTGRAAGAGCAGCAAACAGAGAAAACTRCACTGTTCCAGGTACCTTYTTGGGGACACAGTATTCCTGACACMATGTCCTATTGGCATCCTGTTCTTTAGGGAACGAGACACACTGTCCCACATGACCACACCCAAAGAAATGCTCTCCAACGTGGTGCAAGCTCTGCGATACCTGGACTCCCGTCTTCCGAACGGCAGCCACGTGATTTTAACAGGCTTGGTGGATGGTCGCTTCCTCTGGGATAACCTGCATGACAGATACCATCCTCTGGGTAAATATGAGGTGTTGTGGGGTTCTTCCTGGTTATCTGCCTGTTCCTGWTGCCTTTTCTCCCTRAATGGWCTGTGAATCTATTGATAATTTCAWGCAAACTGGRTGGGGTGGAGGACATCTGAGAAATATGAGTCAGATATTGGCTGTGCTGCAGAAGTAGGAATGACAGCTCTTACCATGCACACTGCAGGACAGGTCAGACCCCTATTCATCTACATTCCCCCACCAGCCATCCCCCTCTGCTCCAGCCCAGGCTCAGCACATGTTGTGGTGGTGTAAACAAGCTGTTCTACCTCAGTCTTGGYCCAAAATTGTGGCCAGCCTGCCTGCATTTCATCCTGATTGTTGTTACAGATGGAGATGGAAATTTAGTTGACACTCACTAATGGATGTTGATGCTCACTAGTGGATGTTGTGGTAAAACTGGATGTGGACCAAGGCAGAAGATTAAGTCAGRGGGTTGCAAAAGACTGTTTTTATATTAGAGAAATAAATTTTCTGCCAGCACTGGGTGCCTGGCACCTCCTACGCTACCTATACATGATGATTGAAACTTCACACCATGTGCAGGCATGTTTTGGGGCATTCCCTCACAGTGTAGTTTCTGTAAAGTGCTTTGGAACATTTTTTCTCAGAGCTTTGGAGGCTGCCTTTTGGAGCCTGTCATCTCAGGGTGTGAGTGACACAGTGCTTCTGACCATTAGCAGACCCCTCAGTCCAAAAGCATGCACTTATTTGTATTTGAGTAAAGGAATCTGTTTTCATCTGACAAGGCAGGAAGWTGTTGTCATAACAGTTCTCACCAGCAAAGAAAGAGAAACTAAATCACATCATTAAAATGGTAGATGACAACTTCAGMTGATTTTGGTAACCACTGGGTAACACAGCTTTCAGCACACCCTGTGCTGCGGTTTCCCCAAGGATTCTTAGTGATTACCAACGGGCCCATATCTTCCCCATTTCCATTCCTATATTTTTCTCTCATAAGCACATAATACTACCAATGAAAAAAAGAAAAAACTAAAGAAAGAAAAATCTTGCTCCTTTCAGGCCAGGGAGAACGTGTGATAATCAATTTTTAGTCACATAAACCCATTTCTTCCCTTGAGTGCATTCTTATCACAGTGACAGTTCCTCTAACTGGGTATCTAATTATCAGAGAGAACACGTAGTCAAATCAGGAGTCATTAACTACAGGATCAGTTGGAAATATTTCAGAGGGGCTGATTTGCCTTGGAGGGACCCTATTAATGCTAAGCAACATGTTTTGCAGCAAGGGATCCCCTCTGGCACATCCTYTAACAGCCTGTGAGCAAGATTCCCCATTTGGCTGCCAGTCAGCCATGACCAGACATCARTCTGGCTTTCTGCCAAATCCCTGATCCCCACAACAGCCCATCCCAGGGTCTGATGCTTCAGGCTACAGGAATCTGAATATCCAGAAATTATTCTAGAACTTTGAACTCCCCACCTTTTGCTTCCTGGGCAGCTGGAGCTGCTGCTGGGTGATGGGCAGCTGTTAGAACTGCTGCTGGTTGTGACAAACAGAAACCACATCTGTATCAGGGAGCCACTGCAAAGCAACCTGAGAAGCCCTTTTCACTTGCGAGAGATTACACTTTGCAGYTCCTAAAAACAGCAAAAATAAATTCATATTTAAGAACTGCAGAAATACCAAAGCCTGATGGGGTGGTCAGTATACTACAAACAATAATACAACTAATACAAAAAAAAAAGTTGCCATTTAATTCCCTTCTTGGTTGTAGCTACCATAGAAGCAAAAAGATTGAGATCATGGATAATTTTCTCAGCAAGCCAGGCTATTGCACAGCACAGTGAATTTTAGGGTATGTTAGCTAGGTGTTTGACTTGGTGCTTGAATTATCTCACCCACACAAGCATATCCACTTCCCTCCATGACAGCAAAATTGTTTCTCCCTTTTAAGGCCAACCAACCTCTGCGAGGTAAATGCAAAAGGCAGAGTGTGTGCCCTTCACTTTTGGGAACCCTGCATTTCTTTGGCGGGTGAGAGACACGTGAATGGCAAAATGTCAGTCACACACTTTGGAGGCTGGCATGGRCTGTGATGAGCAGCCCCACACATGAGACAATCACCTATGAAAGGCAGGAGAGAGATGAGGGAGAAGCAGGCGTGGGGCTCTGCACATTGTGGGGTCATGGGCACCTTAGCAGGAAGGACACCCTGGTGCCTCCCCTCTTGCAGCTCTGGTGTGGGAGGTTAACCAGGGGGTGTGGTGGTGTTTCTGGGGTGCCTCTTCCCACCCTGGRGTGTAAGGCATGGGAATGCACAGATCTGCAGAATGAAGTCACATTTGGCTGCCAGGCACATGAGGTTTCCCTCTCTGTGTGCTTTGCAGGACAGCTGAACAAGGATGTCACGTACAGTCAACTCTACTCTTTCCTCGACTGCCTCCGGGTAAGGTCTGCCCCTGTGGTTTAGGAATCTCCCCTTTCATCCTGGTTTGCTGCTGAAGCCCCTCTGCTCTTGTCTGCCCAGGTGAGCCCCTGCAGCGGCTGGCTGAGCCCCAATGAGACCCTCAGGAACCTGACCTCGGAGGTAAGTGTCAGTGGGGCTGCAGTGGGATCACCCCCATGCACACTCTGCCCTGTGTCTGAAGTCTCAGTGGGGCTGCAGTGGGATCACCCCCATACATACTCTGCCCTGTGTCTGAGGAGATAAGCCCAACTACCTCAAAAGCAAGACATCAGTGCATTTTTTTTCTTCCAGAGGCAAGTAGTAGATGTGGAAGCATCCGTACCCATCCTTTCAAATGCCTCTCAGGCTCTGGGAGGCAGCATGCTCAAGTTAAGGGATTTGTAAAGGTATTCCTGTTACAACCTCTCAGCAACCTGAATTCGTTCTCAAGGGATGTGATCTCCCCAAGACAAAACTGTTCAAGTTCATGTTCTTTAAGAAGAAAATGTACCTGATAAGAAAGGAAAGGCTTTTTTAAATCTAGTAGGTGTTGGTATGACAAGCCAGCTGCATAGATTTTGCTGGYTGCGGGAGCAGGTCCTGAGAGCAAGAGCCTTACCCTGTTTTCATTTGGGATTTGTGCTAATCTTCCTCAGACACATTTCTGTGGACTTAATCGCCACAATCGATGGTGTGACCAGGGAGCATCCAGGCTCAGTGCAGGAATGGGAGCAGACAGAACAGAGATGTCTTAAAACTCACCCTAAAAATCTGGCTGCAGAAGCGAATAAGACATAATACCAGCCACTTACTTTCTTATGGCACAAGCTGATTTTCAATCCCAGCAATCCCCTGCAGCTATGTAAAAGAGCCAGTAAGGAATTACCAAAGGTGTCATCTCTGGGTTTAGTTGTATTAATGTTTGCATTCACTAAACAACAAAATATGGCCTTAATTTCACCAAATTTTACATATGTATTTCATTTCATGCCCTGTCCTTCTTGACTTCAGAGAAGGCAATTGAGCACATTCCTAAACCTTTGCAGGCTTGCAGCTTATATATTCATACCAACAATACAGAACGTAGAGTACATGTAACTTCTGTCCATGAACAATGCATATGTCTGCAGGGTATGAATTAATCATTCTGAGCCCCTGTCTGAAACTAATTGTCTATGTTATTACCCAAACTGCACAATTTAAATATTTAGGAGATCCTGATCTCTGTTATGGCTGCAGAAATTACACTGGATGTATCAGTTAGGCAGACACTGGATGGTGGTAATTTACTCTTCTGAAAGCAAGGGTGGAATTTGGTCTGCATAGATAAGCATTATCATCCACAACTTAGCAGCGGGAAGGATAATAGGAAAAGAGGACATTTATCTTGTAGAAAAGTTTTGCRTTTCTTTAAGAGGAATGGAAATTACTGAGCTCCAAAACCAAGGAATTTAGAATATTTATATAAGCATAGGGACACTGCTRAAAGAGGTCTCCAGTAAAGTGAGCATATGCTGTAATAAACTTAGGAAATCAGCTGAGGCCTCAGTGCAACCTTTGAGGATGAGCTGGGAAATCCAAAGGCTGGTGGTGCTCGTGCAAGTCCATGTCATGATGTCACCTCCTGTCCCCCAGCTGAAAGGACAACGTCAGCTTTCAAATTCCTGGCTGATCATCAGTGACAAAAGCTGAATCCATGCAAAGCAGCATGAATAGCAATGAATAGTCATTGGAACGTTTGATTTTTGCAGAGAGCGTTACAACTTTCCAATGTCTTGAAAGAAATAGCAAGATCTGAGAAATTTGTCAACTTTGATATTTTCTACATGGATTTCCCACTGAGACAAAGTAAGTTGKTTTTTATCCTTTCTCACAAAGTATTTGCTCGAGTTCTGGGCTGCTGATGTTCTCCTCATATTTTGGCTGTGTTCCAGGAGAAGGCCAGTATAACCAGCCAGCCTAGATGACCCTGCTGTCAGGGCTGTGGCCAAGGGGGGACCCTTAATGCCATCTCCTGGCTTCCATGGTTGGGGTAACCTTTCCTRAAACAAGTTCCCACCACCTCCTTGGGAGCCACAACCTCCCTGCTGGCCCCAGCTGCTGCCACCCAGAGGCCCAGCCACACTGGCTACTTCCTTTGGGTAGCAATGTGACAGGGACAACAGATGTGCCTCTGCTAAAAATGCCCCCTGCTTGTCCAACCCAGCTTCTCAGGCTGATGAAGAAAAAAAAAAAACAACTCTCAAACCTATATTGGTCCATAAGATTTGGTTTTATTGTTGCACATTGCTGTGGTAGTGGGTCATCTAGTCTGGAGATGTGTACCTGCAGTGGTGAAAGTGATCTTCACGAGCTGTGGTTTGCTTCTTCATGCCGCCTCCTCTGGGATGAGCAGTGCCTTGGGAAGGGCATCTTCCCTCTGCCATTTTCCTGCCTCAACAACACAGCCACCCGCTCAATGTTCCCAAAACTAGAAGCACCTCTCCCAGGAAWAACTGGTTTCTTTCCTATGTTTCTCTAAACACCTACATACTACTGTAACTTTTGACTTGAAAAGCTTACAGAATTTGTCCTTCCGTGATCTTTAGTGGCTTTAGGTAAGTGCATTACCTAAATCACTTTCTTCTGCAATGCACACGTAAAAATAAATTAAAGCATCTAGGAAAGTTCTGCTGTTACCCATGAACATGAGCACACAGCGTCCCTGTGGGGCTGGGGACAGATACCTGTCCCTGAATCCCTCTCAGCTCCCTTTCCTTTGCAAGATGGATGGGGTCCAGATTGAGCAATCCAGCATCAGCTCAGATTCATCACAAATAGAAACACACTCTTTCTTTTTGAAGATAAAGATCAGCATGAGATGAGGGATTGAGTTGGGCAACATATTTCAAGTAGTGATGGAAAGCAGGAATACAGCTTTTTATKTCTGTATCAGCCTGAATCTCCCGTGCTACAACTTGTCTCTCCCACTGTGCACTGCTGTGAAGAGACTGGGCTCATCCTCATTGTCTTTCCACAGTCTCTTCCCCAGAATGGACCATTCCTGTCCTTCAGCCTCCATCCGTGGGGCAGGAGCTCCAGCCCTGGCCACCTGGGGCCTCTCCCCAAYAGCCTGAATGGTTATGTTCAGAAAATAGTATATAATAATTGGGAAAAAAAAGCCTGATCTGCATTTCCTTGTTTTTATATTCACACAGAGAGATAGTTCCATGTTGGTCCTTATTGAAAAATTTTGTCTGGGGACTTTATCTTAAATCCCAGCATGCAGACGTGTAAATCCAAAGCCACAAAGGGGCAAAAGCACCCTGTCAATAGCTTAAATACTTCTCTAACACCTCTCCCCATCAGTGTCTGGCTGGCCTTGAAAGCATGAAGTTGCCACAGCACCCAAGATTAATTAAAAAAAAACCCTCCCTCATTTTGCAGCCAAATCCTATCAAAATCCACAAACCTACGTGACCCAATTCAGGAATCTGGTTCTGGGTCTCATGAATACCTTATGGAAGAGGAGGAGGTAAAGAAGTGAGGATGGGAGAGGCAGTCTTCCTGTCCAACAGTTTCTGTCAGAGGTGGGCCCCACCCCTGTCAAGTTCTTTCTTGTAGCACAAAGTTTCAGGGTGTCCAAGTCTCCTGGCAGCTTTTCCATCAGCTTCTCAATATTTAACAAGTCATTAGGATTTGGAATTAACTACCTGCTGGGTAGGCAAATTACKTTAATAAGTTAAATTACTAGCTTTAGTTAATTTATTTGCTTTCACAAAAGGAAACATCTTAATATAATTTGCTGTTCRTGATTACCTCGCGTAAAATAAATGAAGTAAACAAAATCACACATGCACATACAAACATCAGCTTTGAAAGACATTTTGCAAAATTTCCTGCAGCCCTGGAGCCAAGGATTCGAGCTCGCCATCAGGGAAGCTGTCAGATCACGAGTGTGCTCAAAAGCCAGCTAAGGCTGCTGACCTACTTTTCTGGTCTGTTTCTGAAGCAAGCAGCAAATCCTCCCCGAAACTCTCCAGATATCAAATATTTAGCAGTGATTATACACTGTGATGAGTACATTGATTTCAGCCTGGCCTGGGTGTGTACGTGTACATAGCAGCTCCCAGCTTTCTCCAAGTAAAATTTGAGTGTATTAGCATTTCTTCTAGATTTAGAGGGACACTCAAGCTCACATGTTGACCTTGACTGAAGAAATTAGTGGTTCCTCTATGAAGAAGCACAGTAAAAAGGGGAATAGGGGTTGTTTGTTATGACTTTTCCTTGGTGTGGATGGGAGCAAGCTCCAGTCTTGTCCAGCCAAGGCAATCGGCACTTTTAACACAAACTCTGGACACGCTCGGTGGGTATTTTGCTCAACTGCTCTAGGATTTTTGAGGATCAGATATAATAGTGTAAATTGATTTGCGAGTTTTGTAAATTTATGTCTTGATAAAAATTTTATTTCTCATACTCTGCTATTTCTGCCACTGGAGCAGTAGTGTCTACAAAGTAAAACACAGTACAGAGCTTTGTATTCCACGTGGAATGTCATAGATATGGAGTTCATATATAAGTAAGTTCACTGTGTATCTATATGTGCACTGTGTGGTGTAATCTAAGATAAATATGTGTTTTGCCCAACATATTGTAAACCTGAAACAAACTTACAAGTCCTGTGTCCTGAAACAGTTTACTCTGGGTGCTGGCTGAAGCATCGCAAGTGGGTTTCCGTAGAGAAAGCAGGAATATCACCTTTCTGTGAATCAGAGTTAGCATGGGGACTCAGACATCACTTTTTGACACAATAGTCAGGGTCCAGCAAACAGCAGTGAGCCCAGATCAAACTGTGGCCCGTGAATGGAGAAYATTTTCCTCCTGAGAGGATGCTTGCATAACGCTATTAAGAATTCTTAATCTGTMATTATAAAAGGAATTATTGAATTTACAGTCTGTTAATGCCATATCCAGTAGTCCCATGTTTGATCACTCCGCAGCCCTTTTGAAGAGAGCTTTTTACTTCTCTAATGGCTCCAGGGCTTACAGCACAGCATCATTTGCATTGAATGTCACACTTATGTAATTCAAAAGGTTATTTTGTTGGAGTTGAAAAAGATCGCTCGGAAGAGAAGTAACCGAAAATGACAGTCTGTTCGTGCAGACTTCAGCCCGTGTGAATATTCTGTTACCATATCTTTCTCTAAAAAGCGCTGTTTTCTTTATCTCTATTTTTTTCTTTYGCACTGTTGAAGATGCAACTAACATGGGAAATGCAAAAGTATTAAATCAGTCTTAAATAATTTACAGCTTTACTTGCTGCAGCATCCATCTTAGTTGGGAGGGAAAGCAATTGTTTTACGACCATTTATGTTCAAAGCGCTTCCTTGCATAAATATCGCAGAGGAAAAAAAAAAAACAATAAAGGCTTAAATACTGCCCCAAGGAGAGGGGATTGCACACACTATTGGCTCTGACAACTTTATGTGAATTATCATAATCTTCATGCAGAGCTGTCATGTGCTTGGAAATACCAGAGGTGCTTTGAGGAGGAGGGTACATCTCTGGGGGGGCAGGCGTCCCCGTGCTCACTGTGGTAACGCCTCTACTTGTGCTCTTTGCAGCGGCCGAGGAGTGGCACAAGATGGGAGGCGAGCCCTGGCAGCTGATCGAACCAGTCGATGGCTTCCACCCCAGCCAGGTAAAACCCGGCCCCAGGAGATGGGTGGGAGCACGWGGGATGCCCCAGGCACCCAGCTGGCATGCCACAGGGATGTAGGTTTGAGAATTTGTCTTTGAAAGAGAGTCATAGAATCGTTTAGGTTGGAAAGACCTTAGAGACCCTGAAGGCCAACCATTAACCTAAAACTAACAAGTCCACCCTAAACCCTAAGCATCACATCTACAGGTCTTTTAAATAYCTCCAGGGATGGTGATACACCCATCTCCCTTGGCAGCCTGTTCCAGTGTTTGGCAACCCTTTCCCTGAACTAATTTCTCCTAATAKCCAATCTAATCCCTCTCCAGTGCAGTGTGAGGTTATTTCTTCGTGTCCTATTAATTGTTYCATGGGAGAAGAAACCAGTCCCCACCTCATCACAACCTCTTTTTAGGTTGTAGAGAGCACTAAGATCTCCCCTCAGCTTCTTTTTCTCCAGGTTAAAAAAATTCCATTCCCTAAGCTGCTCCTCAGTAAGTCTTGTGCTCCAGACCCTTCCCCAGCTCTGCTGCCCTTCTCTGGACATGCTCCAGCCCCTCAATGTCTTTCTTGTAGAGAGGGTCCCAAAACTGAACACAGGAATTAAGGTGCAGTCTCACCAGTGCCGAGTACAGGGGGCGATCACTGCCCTGGTCCTGCTGGCCACACYATTGCTGATAGAGGCCAGAGTGCCTTCTTTGGCCCATCTGAATGACAGCTGTAGCTCCAGAGTCAAAATCTCCATTTCTGGTGTCTGCACTCTGCTCTGACTCCTGCAAGTTCTTCTGCCCCTTCCCTCACTGACCAGTATTGTGGCCAAACAGGTCTCAATGCACAAAAACTGATCCTTGCCACATAGGCTGGCCAGCTGCCTGCCAAAACACCTGTAGGAGTTTTTCGGGGTCATGACAGTAAGGCAGCACTGCAGAAAGCAGACAGACCCCCTCCAGCCCTGCCCCTGCCCTGCAGCCTCTGAGGCTGCATGCTGCCCTGTCACAGTCCAGAACAAAGATTCCTTTTCGAAGTTATACACTTACACTGTTTAAGTTCAGCAGCTACACATTGTACATTTTCACTTGCTTGCTCCTGGGACAGGTGGCAAGAGAAGATTTACAGTCTGTTTATTACAGAAATAAACAAAAGGGAAGGAGAAACAGCTGCTCCACTCTAAGTCCTTGCTTGGGTTTGATAATCTAGTGTGAGGTTGCCTGGTTCCCACCATASCCACTTCAAATTATGTTTTTTTCTCAGCCCTGTGGAACACATGGAGAGAGCATGTTCTGTTGTCAGCTGCAAACAAAGCCATTTTTCTATGCACTACCTGCAGATTTCAGACATGCATGCAGAAGCAGCAATCAGTCTCCTCTGCAAGCTGGGCAGTGCTGCTTGGTAGCTCCCCCTGCTCAAAACCAGAGGGGCATTTTAAGAACCAGTTTTTGTTGAGAGCTACCACCCTGCAGGTGTTGGCTCTCACACCCCCATCTCCATCTGACCCAGTGCRGGGCTGCTTTCCACACTGGGAAGGAGCAGTCAGTGGAGGGGCACCTCAATGGGAGCGAATTGCAAGTTCTGCTGCATTCCAATGTTCCAGCAGCTTCTCCATTGGCTGTGCTGTCAGTTCAACTAGGGGGAAGTCCAAAAGCAAAAGAGATGCTTTAGATGAAAGATAAGATGCTGTCTTTTACACCCATGTTGATCACTCGGGGCAATACAATGCCTTGCTTAGCTTGCCAAATGAAAAGAGCCTCCTATTCAAAGAGGGACTCCTACATAGCAGAAATTCCTGCCTGTCTACCACACAAATACCAGGAGACAGCTGCATGAAAGTATGAACTCACAGCCTGGAGATGTGGAGAAAGTGTGCCTTGATTTTGTGCTGCAGGCCTTTTGCAAGGAAGCAATTGGAGAAATCTCWGCAAATTAAATGAGAGTGAAAACAGTGTTGAAACAAACCCTATTGCCAATCCTGCCATCTGGGAAAACTGTGCAATACGAAGTCTGGAGTGCAGTGGAAAAGGTCTTTGCGTTATTTGACTGTCTCTCCCTGAGGCTGGCCTGAGTTTTCTTATAACCCCCAGCACCAGGCAGGCTACTGTGGGAGCCAGGCTTTCCATGTCACAGCTTTTCAACCAGCCTCCTGCTTGAATCCTTATCCTACCAGCTGCTGCAAGGTAGCAGGGAGTTGAAGGCAGCAAATATTTGTCTTAATGGGATCCTTCCTAAGCCAAAAGAAAATTACAGAAGGACATTGAAGGGCAGCTGCAAACCTACTTGAAGCCCCCGGAGTGCTGAGCTGCAGGATCCAGCCAAGCATTGCCTTATTTCACTCCCTCTGGACCTGGCATCCTGCAGTGGTTGTGATCTTTCCCTCCTGCTGTTAGGATGACGTTAATGCTTTTATAGGTACATTTTCCCTAACAGTCAAGGTGCCAGCTGTAGATATGCCTCACTTCAAGTGAGTTATTGTCGTCCTAGGATTTATTAATTAGCCTTATCCAAACATCCACCATTTGAAATCCATTTTTCTTTTCCTGTTGGTGGAGAGAAGCCTGTTATCAACATACCACTATTTGGACTGAGATGTAGCACTCTGCCCCAAAAGAGTGCCACTCTTAATAAATAGAAGGGGAAGTGCAAGCAGAGACGGCTGTATGCTTAAGGAAGATGAACAATTTGCTCACTCCTCATACAAGTTTTATTTAAAGCTTTACTTTCTCCCAACATGAATGCCTCTGGCCAGGCGTGGTTTTTGTAGCATATAGAGCTGCTTAGCGGGAGAGGATTGATGCCATGCAGCTTGTCAAGTGAACAATGCTCTTACTTCCATCCCTGCAGCTGCTCYCCACACCTCATATTCAACTTGACAAATAAACACAGGAGATAAGATACCTAGCCTGGGCATTTCTGCTGAATTTTCCCATTGTAGATTTCAAAGCACATGACAAATATTCCCAATTTTTTGAATTGATCAGCACTCCAAGGAAAGCATAAACACCTCAGCTCTTGCCTTCAACGCAGAGAAACTTTGGAGTTTGGGATGAAGGAACCAAGGGTGAGCTGGCAGTRTGATCACTTGGAGATCCCTAATCACTATGGTACTGCAATGGGCAGGATAAACCGGCGTCTGTTGTCAGCCCCTGAATTTCACCTGCTGTTTATCCATTGTCTCTTTAATTAAAAAAAGAAGTTGTCTGCTGGTATAAGCATGACACAAGCAGGTGTCAGTGTGTATATCCAGGAGTCCAGAGGTCCAGGCATTTTGGAAGGATTTGGGAGGGAACTGAGTTTTTCTAACTAAGCTTACATACCTGGAAAGAAGGAAAATAAGAAAAAGGCCACACTTGCCCTGTCCCATCAGAGCTAGTGCAGTTTGCCATGCATTGGAGAAAGGCTAGATTTGTACCAGGCAGGAAAAGCTACCCCCCATAGTCCCCACTTCAGGCAATATTTTATGTTTAAAAACGTTGAAAGACAGGATAAACACCAAGTACTTGTATTTGTTTCATTGTGCCCAGAACCCTATTCCTTTCCTGTAAATTTCTTGCGGGTAAAGGGGTTTCTTGCATGGTTTTTTCGTAAGCTGCAAAACAGGAGGGAGCAAACAAAACACTCATAACTGGCATAAATGCATTCCAGTAAGTTTGAAAGCTAAAATCTGCCTCCTGAAGTTTTTTCCAAAACATGCAGCTCAGAACAGAGGTGGAGGAAACTCATACTATTTACTTTTGACACTAAAAAGCAAAGAGATTCACTCACTCCTCCCAAATTCCCCCTAGAGCTGTTTTTGAGACACCATTCCCCAAAGTCCAGCTTGGCTGTCCTTGGAAAAAAATCTGGCTTTTCTCTTCTCAGCGACTATAGAGGGGAGCCCAGGGATTTTCTTCAGCGTCTCCTTCTTGCTACAAAATTTCACTGCAAATCCTTGTGAATGCCAGATGGCTTCAAGGACACCACTTCCCTCTAGAACAGTCGATTACTTTGTTTGGATGACAGGGCTATGCATTTCAACAGGATCCTGCACAAATGGCTTCATTTCTTGCTTTTATGAAGCTGCCAGGGAGAATGTGAAAGCCATGAGAATCACAAACTGGAACCTGAGACGCTTGGAAGATTCTTAATGTTYAGGTACAGGCAGGAAAGCACAGCATGAGTGTGATTAGCTTCTCCCTTTTTCTTCCTTAAGTCATAGCAAAGCACATTCCAGCCAGAAATAGAGAGGAAAAGCTGAAGTGACGCATATCAGATGAGCTGGGTATTTACACTTTGCTGAGAATCACACCCATCACCTCTTTGATGCAGAAGGGGAAAACAGATAGCCAGAAGCTGCTGAAATAACACAGTCACCTCCCAGCTGCAGTCACCCAGAGCTCTGTGAGSAATGGGTAATATTTAAAAACTTGCTTAGGGGTTGTCATCTTCGCAACAACAAAAAAAATAATTGCAAAGCTCATAAAAATGATAGCACGTTTCAAAGMACAAGAACTTTGGAATTAAAAAAAAAAAAATACCTGCCAGAAAGTAATTTCCAGAATCACAACCCCTTCTTGGTGCTAYTCATCCAGAATAAATTATTGAAATAATCAGGACATTTAGAAATTATGTGCATGAAGAACCTGATTCAGGTAATAATTTAGGGCAGTCTGAGCACATATAGCTTAAATTACAGTTAGCATTATTTTGAGCACTGTAGAGCAAACCTCCAGTGATRCCTTTGCAATGAGTATACCATGCAAAGACTGTAGGGTTTTTTAAACCAATCACCCAGCCAACCTATTACCCAAGCCCACCCATCCTGCTAAAAAGCACATGGAAGGCTTAGGGAGGTTTGTGAASAGGTTTGGAGACTACCATGCCAGAATGGACCGCTCTGACAGGGATGGGTGTCAGCTCCCTGGCTGCCATATAACCATGCCTGATATTCTGGGCGTCTCAGAATAACTTTTGGTCACAATGGAAACTGCAGCCAGGAGAAATCCCTGTATTACACGAATCTCCACTCTCCCTCTCCCCTGCCCCAATTCTTCCATTAGCTTAACAAGATCTTGATTGACCAGAGTCTAAGAGCTTCCACCCCACATATGTTTCTCTTTGTACATGAGCTCCTAAATAAAAGAAGGATTTTGTCTCCTAGCCCATCAATACTGCTTCTTTTAAAGCACAGGATTAAAAAAGTAGCACATAAAAATTCCCCAAAGGCTCCAATGTCTCCTCAATGGCAACTCTGAAACAACAGTAAGCAAATAGTTTGATTTCATAAAACCACCTTGACCCTTAAAAGAAAAAAGGGCTTTGTTAGCCTTATTTAAACTTCATAATTRCAATCAATATTAGTGTGTTGAAAGGCTTGGGTTGAAAATAAAGTTCCCATATAGGCCAAATATAATTTCAGGTCAGGAGTGTAACAAAAATGCCTTAGCAGGGTGTAAAAATTTGAATAAAGGAGACTCAGGCTTTTCTCWCTGTCCCTTTCTGCTACCAGTGATATTTTTCACCCTCGCAGTACAGCAGGTAGAATTTCACTTTGGTACATAACTTCTAGGGCAAAAACCTCTGGGAGAGCTAGAGTGATACTGATGTTGAGGAGAAAAGCTATTCTACCATTTCTGCAGGGTTCATGGGAAAAAAACTCTGAAGACAATCCAGTGGCAGTTGCAAACTTAGAGCATCAGACACAGTTAGTTATGAAACCAGAAATAATTGGGCCTCTTTTTCCTCAACACCTGTGGTTTCCTCYCAGGAGAGCACAGAGAACATTTATTAGAAGTACCAAAGGCATTTGGGAGTATGAATTCCTCTGGGTTTGCAAGAGTTTTATGCATTATACCCAAGTGGTGCTTTTGACGTACTTACAAAATGTTTAATGGGAGAAAAAAAAAAAAAAGAAAACTGGAATTCAGGGCTTTTGAATAGCAGTTTATGTACTAGACATCATGGGCATCTGGAAGTGGTTGGTGAGAGACTATCATTAGACAAATGGTGGGTCAGGGAGGTGCAGATATATGGCCCTCGCCCTATTTTCACCATACAGAGATTTTGCATTGGTCAAGCAGCTGGAATGGGGTATTTCCTTTGGTTAGAAGTTACAGTCCATCACGTGGTTCCACTGGGCAGTCTCCTTATGGTGAAGCCTTCTAAACTCTGGCATGAAATGACTGCGTTATAGARGCACAAGAAATTGACAGCATTTGTGGTTTGCAGATTGCTGCAGCCCTTGGAACAGGCATTACCTGGCAGAAGGCGCTACAMGAATGGCCTCAAGTGCTTGGCAAGGAGAATCCATTCAACGACCAGATTGAAGCCATATTCAAAGATCAAGGTGGACACTGACTCCCAAACTGCTGGAGCCCTCACGTGATCTATGGCGGTGCTTCCACGAGTCAAGATGATTAAAGACACACACAAAAAAGGGGGAAGGGAAGTTACCAGAGCCAGTAGCAGTGGACATAACACAAGAGCATTCTTTTCAGGTTGTATCTCACCTGCACAAGTAGGCTATGCTTTTTCTGTGGAGCTACAAAAATAAAAATCAAAGGATAGCTGCCAGCTAGACCATTTATTGTACCAGTTTGAAAATCCGTATTTCTTTTTTCCATATATAGCAAACTCCTACCCCTACCTAATTTTTTTCTGCAGAACATTTCTAGGCTATTTGTACTGTTTCAAGAGCTAATCTGGTCCCAAAAGGAGAGGGGGAGACCCCAAACTCATTATGTTGCTGTAAATTGTGTGTATGTAATTGCCTTGACTGTCAATACATTATTCAGCTGCTATTTGCTTATTAAAGTGTGCCAGGAATAACAAGGCACTACAATTTTGATTTGCCTGGCAGCAAACTGAGCACAGGTTCTCTTCCTCCATTAATAAGATATTAACTTGACAACACTTCATGTATTTAAAGYAGGGTGCTTTTTCAACGTGAAATGTATCTTTGCTTTTTTGCATCCTAAGAAATATAATGCACTCAGTCCTGTCGTTTACAGGCATGGCCGAGGGAMTCACTGAAAACACTGGGCAGCCCTTACTTCATAGGCAGACTTGGAATATAATTGTGTTTTTTCACAAGCTTATCCAATGCTCTTAGCAAAATAAATATTTAAAAATTAGAGACAGCTCTATCCTACTTGCAGTCTTACTGATGATGGAGATATCAGAGAGCATAAAATGGCATTAATTACCAGAAGCAAAGATCCAGTAAATAGCAAGCATTAACATGGCATGATTAAAACCCACCCCAACAGCCCAAAGGTCAGGCAGAGCTGCTCTGCCTATTGCTCTGTGTCACCCTTAAGGCAGCTCTTGGTCTGTGGTCCAAACTCCAGGAGAGGGCCTGGCTGTAGGACACACACCCACTAAGCATTTTGAACAGGTAGGGGAGGACCTGGTTAATATTATTTTGATTGAAGCATATATTATTGCTTTCCTGGATCATATTCCTTTTTTTCAGAGTTCAGTAAATGCTGTGTCTTCTATTAAGATATTAAGATAGAAATTCCTTTGGGATGACTGCTAACACTKAAGTAAATACTCAAGTCACCTACTTTAGGAAACCAAAAGGGAATACTTCCCTTAATTGAATGATACTTGTTAATAAGGCCCCAATTCATTCAAGGCATTTAGATGCTACCAAAATACCCAGTCTCCCAAGAAATAGTTTCAACTCCAGAGTGGCATGCCTGGGGAAGACTATTTAGCATTGGAAGGAAAAGAAATCTGTTTCCTGTAGAAATGTTGTTCAAACAACATTTCATGTACCCTGGACAGGTAAAACACCTATTTTTTATTACCTATTCTGGACTCTTATCTTTCATTAAATATAACACAAGGACAAAATCAAGTGCATTCACATGTTTTTACTAAAGACCAAGTACAGCACAGATGATAATTACAGAATATCAGATTATTTCCTCCACATCAGCATACAGAAGTGTAGCAATTAAAAGGGGGAAGGGAGTCATGTTTAGAAGCCTAATTTTCAAGGCAATTTCATTGCAAATTATTGTGGTTCATTTGAGGTTGGGATTTAATAACACCAATTAGGAGTTTTACAAAGTAGTAAAACTGAAATTTCCTCAGCTAAAATAGGCTTCATTGCCCAGAGCAAAGCATTTTTCCTCTTAGACTTTCTTACTAGAGAACTTCTTGAATTTCTGAACAATGACAAAAAAAAAAGGTTTCTTATAAAATTAGAACATCTTTTTCAAAGACAACCTGAAATCTCCATAGCTGAATCCCAAAGCCAAGCCCTCAGGTTTGCCCAGTCCAATTGCTCTGGGCTGGATATGGGGTCTCTGAGGGACACCAAGGAATGGGGCTTGCCACTGACTGAAGCCACACTACCCAAAGCACATGCCCTTATGCCCCAAGCTGAGCACTGCAGCTCCAAACCAGGCTGCATGCAGAAACCTGATTTCTAACTGAAGCAGTAACTATCTGCAAAGATGAATTTTGGGACTATTAAGCCATCAGCTTTTACAACCACCATGTCTCTCTATTATTTTAAATGCAAAAAACAGCTGAAGATCTGCACCCCCAACCATCAATCACTTACCCATACCACTCTAAAAATACATGTCCTATATTTAAAAAACGCTGCTGAAAAGGCTTACTTATGCTAAAGCAGTGACAAACTCTGAATCCTAGTCTATTCCATTAGGTTAACTGTCTCCTGGTGCTTAGATTGGTTGAAGGTGACAAATGTATGGTGAAAAGAAAAATAGGAAAAAAAAGTTTCTCTTGGAAAACTAATTATACTTCCATGCAATTCAAACTTTATAGCAGTATGTATTTCGAGAAGGGATGGTTTGTCAAGGTCTTTTTTGGGGAGAGCCAGAGCATGTGAATAGAGGAGGGATTATGTCACCGACTGGATCCAGCACAGTACACAAGGGAAGGTTCTCTTGATGTTACTGTGCAAACGGTTTTTATAAAACTTAAAGCTTTGCTTGAAATCAGACAGTAGGAAATCTTGTTGAAGTATAGAACATCTAAAGCTATCTGAAGCTATCTGTATTCACGCAGTCTGACCTCTTCACRAAGGATGTGCTCCAAATATGGAAAAATTACTTCACCATTGTTGCAAACCCCTTGAGTGCAAACCCTTAAAACTGAGGAATATGGGAGGGGAGGAGGCAGCATCCAGCATTGCCAGCCACAAAAGCTGTAAGTGCAGGCTTCCTGCTAAGCTTGCATCCCATGATTCTGCTGGTTGCAGGAGCCCATGTCCTCACCCTTTATAGCCTGTGCCCAGAGCTCACCACACAGGTCAGCCTTCCTAACTTAACACCATCTCTTATACTTTATACCTTTCCTTTAGAAGGAGAACTTCTTCTTGGGCAATGAACACATAATAATAATAGCGCTATTAGCTAAATAAAAATGTTCCCTYGAATATAATCGTGTTCTGTTCTTAACATCTTTCTATGCACTCATTACTCAATTCAAAATTTAATAACTTTTAACATYCAGTTGGAAGTTTTTAAGACAGCCTACCACTTATCTGCTGATGAAATTTGCTCTTGCACTGACCATGTGTTATTTTGCTGCCATGTCTCTGTCACAAAAAAAAAGAACCATCTCTCCTCTTCATATTTGATGAGCTACTGCAGATGGACAATCTGGCCTCCCACTACAAAACTTGGTGCTAGCTATATCCAAGGCTTCACATTATCTTCTCAAATCAAGTGGAATTTTGGGATACGTGCACAGAATAGAATCCTTCCTTAAATACTTGTGGAGTCCAGCTTTTCTTCAGCCTACAAACTAGGATCTCAAATGCATAGATGACATTATGAAAAAAGCAGGAAGGGTTTTATTTTTTATTTTAAATGAATAAAATAAATCTCAGCACATAGTTTGGAAATATTTAAAGACATCAAAAAAGAAAACGAGATTTAAAAGCAAGTACAAAGGGGCAGGATGAAAACAGTATAAGCTAACAATTTAGTGTTTTGAGTGTGAATATATAACAGCAATAGCAATCAAGTATTCCACTACTGCATTCCTAGTGAAGTAATGAGCTGGTATTTGAATACGCTCAGTAAAAGCCTGTGAAAACTGCAAGTTTTGACTGAGAAATGTTGCCATTTTCATGATGGGCCTGAAGTACTCTTTTTATACGCATTTGTGGACATATTTACCAAGGCGAGGCAGCCCTGTACTTTCAGCCAGATGAGTATTAGTTGGTATATAGCAGCTTTGTAAAGTCTTATTATTAACCAAAACAAAACAAAAAAAGGCACTTTTACAACCTATTAACCTATTCCTGGTTCTCAAATAGAGAATTCTAGCTTGTAAAAACCACAAGTCCCAGGAAATACTGACATACACAACCCTAAACCTAATTTTTTTTATTTTTTTATTTAGCAGTCCTACCAAAAATATTCAAGACCTTCCATTTCTATCAAAGTGCAATATACTGCATAAGTAATTCCACACCTGCAAATCACATAGTGTACATGCCATGCACTTATCCACACTAGTATGTGTGAGAAATTCCAAAAGTAGTAGGGATATGTTGTGCATGTCTTTTGTTCTGACCACAAGGATGCTGTACAAGCAGAAATAACTATACTACATGTTGCAAATAAAATTGTCTAGTTAATTCTGTGCCTGATCATTACAGAAGAAGCTCAACAAATGCAACAACATTAAATCTTGTGCTTCAGCAGCATCCTTGTTAGAATATTTTGAGCTATTGTTTCTTTCAGGGAGCTGAGTTATCTAGAAAGTTTGTCYTTCACTAGCTAGTGCCTCTCTTCCTGCCCTGAAGTGTGATTTCCTGCAATAATTTAATTGTTTAAAGGAGARAATGTATCTAGCTAGAAGACTTCCAAAAAAGGAGTTACATAAATATTTAGCACATTTAGAAACAGCTAATTGCTTCTTACCAGACTCAAAACTAGGAAGTAAAAAGGTTTTAAAAWTTTTTAAGTGAAATAAAAATACTGCATAACATAATCCTGTATAATGTTAAATACTCTCTCAAACTTAAAGCATAAGTGACCTAGGGGAGTTCCCGCATTTTTTTTTTAATTCTTTCCTTGTGTAGTTCCCTTCCAGTGTTTAAAGCTTTCCAATAGGTTTGTAGCAGGCATCAGGCTGCCACATGCGAAGGTCAACAAGGACTTGGTTGAGCTTTTGCATCCAAAGGTTACGTTCTTCTTTAGTATCGGCAGACAGCCAGTTCCTAGAAAGCAAAGAACCACATGGATTATTCTCCACCTCCAGAAAACGTCAAGCTGATCAACCATAGAAGCCCAAATAAAAGGGTTAAAATTAAGTCAAACATTCCACAATCCTGCTACCAAGCCACTTGGCATTTCCATTTCTAGAAAAGCAGTCATTTGTCCGCAGAGCACTGAAATGGGACAGCAAGAAAAACAGGACTAAAAGTGAACAAAACAGTTCAAGTGCCACCCCAGTCTTAGCATTTAAAGAACCTTTGCACTGGTATGAAAAAGTTGTAATGTTACTAAAACTAAAAGGTAAAATACCTTCCCACACACATCCCATATCCTCCATGATTTTATGCACTCACTTTGTAACACAGAGTGTGTCTCTGCATTGGCTCACAAGAGTTTCTCGGTCATCTTCTCTCTGAGGTCGGACAGTTATTAGTTCAAAAGTGTTGGGACGGGCACAGAACTCCCTGTTGGCAGGTTCTATCTGATGATTAGTGCAGTTAGCCAAGTTTATCCGGCCCAAAGGATGCTGGAAGTGAAATAGTTCATCAGTCAAGAATACTGCAATCAAGAGTAATTCTGAACAACATATGCTTTGAGAACTTAGATGATATTAAGTGAACACACCTTCCCACAGTTACTCCATAAAAAAGAATGATTTATGTGCAGCTGTAAGAAATTTATTTAAAAAACATTCCACAATTTAAAGTGATCATGGCCTAGTACTGACATTTATGAGCTACATCTATCTCTGCGTGATGCAATATATGAGGTAAGGGCAAGGGCATGCAATCACTAAGTTTAATATTTTTGTAGCTCACAGTATAACCAAAATACAGCTGACCCTCTCAGTACAATAATGAAACAACTCTTGAAGATTTTCAAGAACAGAACCTAGATAAAAAAACCAAAGCTTTTTTCTTACAGGCAAAAGCCRAATAGGAACCTTTCTTTTGCTTATTTTTTTTTTTTTTTACTATCTTCTCTTACAGTAGGCAGAGATTTTTCCCTCTTTCCTGGCAGGCAGAGAAAGTACATTGATATATTTTGGCAATGCCAACTATCAGCATATGGTCTTC